ATGTGTGTTCTGTTTGATATACTCTTCTAAGTATTCATTTTTCATTGTGTTTATTCATAATCTTAACAACTGAGACAAAATTGCCATAAGTATTGTAAACTTTGACTTTATGAACAATGCTTTTACTTTTGATACTTAGGTATTCATTTAACAAGTACTTTATTTATATATGTTTCATCACAGTGGAAAGCAGAATGGAGAAATGGGATATTTATCTTGTTACTGATAACATTTCTGAGTGACGGCTCAGTCTATTACGGACTATTACATATCGGTTTAGGGGATTTCAGAGCTGCATTATTTTCTTTCTTGATTTTTTTGTTTTTGTTAATCAATAAATAATTTAGTCTATAAAATGTATAATTGTGAAAAATACCCATCACCATTGCTTTGGGTCCAAGTTGATGTCTTCACATTGCTTGCTTGTCCAAGTCCCAAATATATTTAACATACAACTAGAGACCATCTTGGGATGGGATCACACCAGACATTTATAATTTAATATAATATAATTTGGGGGCCAATGGCCACTTAACAACCTCCTACCCCCCTTACTCCCGACCGCACCTATCTGTGATCTCAACTACACACCTGTAGAGTTACGTGACTGCATCTTGCACAGTTGTGGTGCTATCGCAGTGCCAAAATCTGTCAACGGACAGACATATAAACACCTGGCAAAGTATTCAAAGCCACTTCTGCGGTAGTTCCTGCTACAACAGGTGTCTCCAAGACCACAGTTTGCCATGATGACACACACACACACACACACACACACACACACACACACACACACACACAGACTGACAAGGTGAAAACAATAGCAGCTACACGCTGTAGCGATTGGTCACTAAGTCCCAGCCAGTATGTATCTGTCTGTCACCACATAGCAAGTGACCCGCAGTGTAACATATTTTACACAATCAGCTTCACTGTGACTCTGATTATTGTGTCACAGCTCGGCTTGGTTTTGATTTGCAACCCTAAAAAAAAGATTCTATCTCTAAAGCACAGCAGCCCTGGTCCATTTGATGTGACTCTCCCTCCTGTTTACACTCAATGTTCCATCATCTGTTTTTGGTTTGGGAGCGGATGCTTTCTGCCTGTTGGATATCAATATCAATATGTGTAAATTCTTCATATCTATCCATATTCTACCCTGCCAAAAACTCCACATGAGAAAAACTCAATATGTGACAGATTATTTCTCCCCATGTTGTCTGCTCCCTGCCCAGTTTCCCACGAGACCTGCCTCCTGGACCAGGTGCTGGAGCTGATTATGAGCGAGAAGCCCCCCACCAGTGCCAATCTTTTCCTAAACGAGGACGCGGAGAGACTCCCAATTCCAGAGAGAAAAGACTTGAGGAGACGCCTACGCAGGGTCATGGAGAAGAGAGCCAGCAGCTTGAAGGAGAGGATGAGCTCCGTCAGTCGGGAAAGCGTCAAAGGTTTCCTCAAGAGGAACCTGTTTGTTTTACTCACTATTGCCGCCGTGGCTCTGGGTGAGTAAAGAGGGACAACACGTGGAGGTTTAATTAATTTCTCTGCGGTCACTTGACTTAGTTTGGCTTTTTGTACATTTGTGCTTTTGTGTGTATACGTGTACGTCTATTCAGGTGTAATCCTGGGCTTTGCTCTACGCCCACACAATCTGTCCCTGAGAGAGATCAAGTACTTTGCCTTTCCAGGGGAGCTTCTAATGAGAATGCTACAGATGCTGGTGCTGCCTCTCATCGTCTCCAGTCTGGTCACAGGTGGGCTTTTAATGAGCACAAACATATTGGTGACAAACTCTTGCAGCAAACTGAATTCAAATGGATTAACTCTGTCTCAGGTATTTCCTCCTTGGACAGCAAGGCGTCAGGTAAGATGGGTATGCGTGCAGTGGTCTACTACATGGTGACAACCCTGATTGCGGTTTTCATCGGCATTGTTATCGTGATAATCATCCAACCGGGGAAAGGCAGCAGGGACAGTCCTGTAGCTAACAGTGGGAACATAGAGCCAGTTCAAGCTGCTGATGCTTTCCTGGATCTCATCAGGTAACAGCTTAGAGACTTTACTCAACTTATGAAGGTGCACACCTGGTGTTGTTACAGTATCAGTTGTTTTGAGCCACAATTGTATATCTTTCACATTTAAAGTAATAGTTGGAAATACCAAGAGTCGGATGAGAAGATCAATGCCTCTCTTACACTTAATATGATGCTATTTTCAGAAACCAGTTAACTTAGCTTAGCAGCAGCCGAGGGATAGTCTGGCACATAACGCTGGAAATCACACATAACCCTTTTGTTTTTGTATAGATTGAAAGACACAAGATATACATGATGACTAGTGAGCTCTACAGATGCTGGAAGGTTTTTCCCTTTGGACACAGACAAGCTAGCTGTTTCCCCCTGTTTCTAGTCACTATGCTAAGCTAAGCTAAATGGCTGCTGGCTGTAGCTTCATATCTAATTAACAAGTGTGAGATTGGTATCAATCTTCTCATCTGACTTTCGGCAAGATAATTAACAACTATCCATTCAAAGGCTTTATATAGCTATGAGGACATCAAAAGAATAGTTGGAACAGTGAGAATTTACCCAAGATTATCCCATGGTTATTTATTAACATGTTGTAGTATTACAAAATATACAACCTGCTGCGACGCATGTGATGTTTTATAGAAACATGAGCACAAGAAAAATTATTTATCTTTTTTTTATTTTTATCTCAGGAACATGTTTCCTCCCAATCTGGTAGAGGCTTGTTTCAAGCAGGTGAGGCTGTCTTTTCCTATCAGTCATATTATATTATATAATATAGTAATATTATTCCATTTAACACATTTTATTTTCATTTTTAAAATCAGTAAACACATGCATTTCATTTATATTACAACACAACTCCCAGCATCCATTTCAACCACAGGCAATCTCACAAAGATTGTCTGTGACATCCCATTTTCTTCCTCATATTCCACTGTCACAAACTTAAAACACCCAAACATAATTAAGGTGCTGTTTATGTTTAATTCCCATGCTCTCTCTTGCAGTATAAAACTGTGTACAAGAAGACTGTGCACACAAGGAACGTGACAGTGACCCTAAACCTCACTGACTCTCTCAACGTGACAGAGTCTGACCTGAGTGTGAACCTCAGCAGAGTGCTGCACACCATACAGGTGGGTGACGGTGGATGATTTCTCCTCTGGGGGAAATAAGACGCAGTTCTTAATGAGAAAATATTGTCTGGTGATCCAATGAGGGATTGCCGTCTCTTTTTTTCTACACCTTACAATTTGTGTCAATCACCATTGCAGAAATTCATATAATGTTTCTTTCCTGACACATATTTTCTATTACAGGAGACAGTGGAGGAGACTGTCCCTGTGTCCGGGTCCTCTAATGGAGTGAACGCTCTGGGTTTGGTGGTTTTCTCCATGTGCTTTGGTCTGGTCATTGGCAACATGAAGCAGCAGGGCCAGACCCTCAGGGACTTCTTTGACTGCCTCAATGAAGCCATCATGAGGCTGGTGTCCATCATCATCTGGTCAGTAAAGACACACCAGTTTTTTATGCAGTTTAACTTCCTTGTTTTTAAGGATACATTGTGATTCTCTGATTATAAAATGTGCTATATTGATTAAAGTTTGACATGACGAGACCGGATTACCTTCTTAAAAGCCTGCTGACTTGCTGGTGGGTCAATCATTTTTAAACACAATTAACTTTTATTTTAATCTCCAGAGGAGATCCCACAGCTTCCAAACATACCTAATACAATTAGTTAAGTGTAATATTTCAATTTGATGGACAGGTTCAGGCATAAAACACTTGCATATAATTAGTATTGTATATGTATTTCTGAAGATGCTGAGTAACAATTACAATCCTAAATGCTAATCTGTCAAGTTGTAAGTTGTAGATTCACAGAAATTAATGAAGCAGTTGTATTGCTCTTATTCTGAAGGCCTAAATTGGTTGCAGAAATACACTTTAGTGGCTTAACATGTGTGTCTCTCTCTCTATCTTCCTCTTAAAACAATCATCTCACCTCTCAGGTATGCTCCAGTCGGCATCCTGTTTCTGATTGCGGGCAAGGTTGTAGAGATGAAGAATCTGGCAGAGGTGGGCGGTCAGCTGGGGATGTACACCGTGTCGGTCATTGTGGGTCTCCTAATCCACGGTCTCTTTGTCCTGCCACTGCTCTACTTCCTGGTGACCAGGAAGAATCCCTACACCTTCATTGGTGGTCTTCTGCAGGCGCTAATCACTGCTCTGGGAACCTCATCTAGGTGAATGTCATCCTCTGTCCTGCTCAGATACTGGTGTCCATGACCTAAAAGAGATAGTTTGGGTATTTTGAAGTGGGGTTGTATGAGGTACTTATCCATTGTCGTGTATATGGCGGTCAACATGCAGACCTGAGTACCAGCCCAGGAGCAAAGCAATGTACTGCTGTGAACAGGGGCAGCAGCAAAATGTATTTTAGCCACCTAAAATAATGCCCACCAAAAAAAAAAAGCATATCTTATAACCTATAATGTAACAGGACCTAAATATCAGTAACATTGCCATGAATAGATACAAATTCATAGGGAATACTGTGTATTATACTATAATGTTTTGTAAGTCTGACTGAGTCCAAAACTCTCTCTCCCTGCATATTCAGCTCTGCTACCCTGCCCATCACATTCCGCTGTCTGGAGGAGAACAACCGTGTGGATAAACGAGTGACACGTTTCATCCTCCCTGTGGGTGCCACCATCAACATGGATGGCACCGCCCTCTACGAGGCTGTGGCAGCCATCTTTATTGCCCAAGTCAATGACATGGACCTAAACTTTGGTCAGATTCTGACCATCAGGTAACTCTACTTTAGTTTTGGTTTACAACATAGACAAAACACTGTGGATGTTGGAGGCATGGAGCCCGAAATCCTTTTTTTCATCCTTTTTATTCCAACGTCTTATTGCCTCAGATGAGAGAAATACAAAATCTATTGTTTCATGGTGACTCACATGTGCAGCTGTACAGAATCAGGTAGATTCTACTGGAGGCAGTACATTCCAATGTAGACCCGATATGTATCGAACTCGCAAAGGTATCAGTAGAAAAGAATAATTTGTTCATATTTTGGCCAGCTCTACTACTTGCATACTATGGTCAAACTGTCATCAGTCGAGTTGCATTGTGGGTTATTTAGGCACCATGTTTTGACCAAGCAGCAACCACACCTGTGCTGATAAATGAAGCCAACGCCGAAGTGCCACAAACTGCAGTTCATCAAATGGCCACTAGTGGCTGGCCCCAAACGCAAGACAACACCCATTGACCCCATGTTAAAATGCAGCACTTGGTAAATATCCTGTCAAAAAAGTTTTGGTCTCTATAGCTAATATCCCTGTTCCTGACAACTGTATGGGGGTTGAATTTGTATAAACCCCACCTGTAATTGAGGGTGTGGCCTCTTTAAGTGACATGTTGGTGCTGTCTCAGGTCGTTCGCTGCTAGCTGTCTCCTCTGCTGCGTCACCTCAGCTACACCGACTATCCACCTCTTGGCCCATTTTTAGAGATAGGCTGTGTCGCTGATGGCAATAGCTGGAGCCACCCACAAAGGCTCTTCAGATACCTATCGGTGACTTCAGAGAGACTACGTCCATATTTTATATAGTCTACAGTGGTCGTATCATACTAAAATTACCTTTATAGTATCATCCTCTTAGACAACACATGCACAACTTTCTACAGTTTATAGAAAACAGAATTGTGTGAGAAAATGTACATAATTGTATAACTCCTGGTGCTTTTCTCACTCTACTACTCCCACCATCCACCACCAGCACACGTGCTGTTTGTTTGTTTCCCTTTTATTAAATGTCTTCGCTCTCCTCTCCTCTCCATCCCTCCCACCGCCCACTCAGTATCACAGCAACGGCTGCCAGCATCGGAGCAGCAGGCATCCCTCAGGCTGGCCTGGTTACCATGGTGATCGTATTGACATCGGTGGGACTGCCTACGGAGGACATAACACTGATCATCGCTGTGGATTGGTTCTTGTGAGTTCCCACTAAATGTCAGCTTGATGGGGATTGGTCTGTGTATACAGTTCCGTGGGTCTGCCAGCCTAAATGTCATTGTGAAGCTTCAGAGGTCCCACCACTACAAAGGTTATTGATGCATAATGCAGAGTGACAGATTCAATTGTGTTTAGAGGCACATGCATACATTTTCAGCTGTGAGTGCTTTTATAGGAGATAAACACGAGTGTTTTCTTTGTATGCCTCTGCTGTATATTACTTTCTCCTGTCTCTTATTTGATTCTCCCTCTCTCTCCCCAGGGACCGCTTGCGGACCACCACCAATGTGCTGGGTGACTCCCTCGGGGCAGGAATCGTGGAGCACCTTTCCCGTGGAGAGCTGCAGAGTCAGAATGCCGAGGTGCGCAACTCTGTCATCGAGGAGAATGAGAAGCCCTACCAGCTTATCTGTCAGGAGAACGATTCACTCAACCACCACAACAGTGAGACCACAATGTGAAGACGAGAGCTACACCCTTTAGGGCTTCATGTACCAAAAGCATTTAGCTAGAAGGTTGTCTTGCAATGATAGTTAATGGTCAATTCAGCCAGTTGGGGTTCGAAGAGCATTTTTGCAGTTACAGACGCAAACGTACATCTTTCCTTCAAAAACAAAAAAAATTCCCGGCAAAACAAGGAACTACAAAGTCCGGCCCAGAGGTTGCTTCATGACAGGAAAAAAAGCACACATGCTGTCAGGAACAGTTACATCTCCAATCCAATGTTTTTGCCTGGAGTGCCAGTTATTTAACAGCATTTTGCTGTTTCCTGTTTTAATTCAATGTCAGGAAAGCTCAATATGACAAAGAGAGTTCCGAGTCATTTAAAAAAAGTTTTCAGCTTCATTGTGTTTTCAAAGATTTGTATGATTTATCATCTATACAGTCAAAGCAGCATAAACTCCTTACCAGCATCAGTGTTAGAATACACAGTATTATAAAAGAGAAGTACCACCGTTCATAAGAAAACTACACCAGCTGTTTCTTCGGCTCTTGTGAATATTTTAATCTGCATAATTTCTGTTGCATGACTTAACACTTAATACATGTCATTTTTTTTGTAAAGACTTATTGTTTGTCATTCTTATTAAGACTACCTCTAATAGGACGTATATATGGAGCTTCTACCATGCTACACACAGAAACACTAAATGAAGCAACAGGATGTTAATACATCAGTGTCAGACATGTTTTGATTGTTTTTATGTTATTTAAGTTTGCTTGTGCAATTTAATTGTGCAATTTTGAATATACTTGACTGTTAAACATTGGAGATGATGTGAAGGAGAATCTTTGCTTTACTTTTTGAAGTTGATATATTTAAAGTTAAAGTTATATATTTAAAGACTTGTTAGAATGTTTTTCACTCAGCTTATAAATACTGTATTGGTGTGTATTTCCTGTATTTCTTTGGTGCTATTGCTTTTTAATTTTGGGTAAAGGACTGTACTGCTACACAGCAATTTAATGGGAACACCTGTAGTTATGCTCTCTTTTTTATCTCCTAGTTATCCTTTTTCCTAGGTGAAAGTTAGTTTTTCTATTTTAATGTTTATAAAGTATAAACAAATGCAGTTTCAAGTTTCAAGACCATTAGATGTTTTTTGTTGTTGTGGTTACAACAATGTGCTTAACATCAGTACACCATTGCACCCTCCGGTCTGTGTTTTTCTGCTATAAACATTTAATGTAGTTGTATTTTGACTGGAATAATTTATTGCAAGCTAATGATTGATTTATTTTTATTGTTTTGTGAAAAGGTACTGTCAAGAAAGTTTGTGAATGCCTTGAGGAATTGAATGTACAGTTGCTTTTTGCTTTTTGGTGTTGATTGTTTTAGAGGAAAGTGTAGTGAATTATTCTGAAAATTATTTACCATTTGAAACTCTTCTGACTTTGTCACTTGTATGCTCATTAAGAGGTTTGACTTTAGTTTTGAAGCTTAATGTTACTTCAGTGAAAATCTCAACATTTTGATGGACAGCTTATGATAAAATGTGACAAATAAATGGCTCAGGAATTTATCTGTGATTCTCATTATTGTGTTTGTGGCTACCCCTGGTGGAGGATATTCTCCTGTCCAGAAGTTGTTCTACTTAGACACAGATGGGCCAAATTTAATATGAGAAAAACATTTGTAATAATAATGTACAATAATTAAATGTCAAAACGTTCTGCTGTCATTGTAGTGCATTACATTACGAAATGGACCCAAATCTCACTCACTGATGAATGAATGTAATGAAAGCATTCACATAGATAATGCTTTCATGTATTTACTTAACGTAAACAAGGTTTTAAACCCCCTTTTTCTAACTTGTTGGTTCATAACAAGGCTGTAGCCATGCTAGCAGCTCTGTGAGGCTACACAGCGGTGCTTTGGGCTAAGTGCTATAACGACAGCATGCTACAAGTGCTCACAGTAACAATGCAAACATAATATATATAAATATACATGACATTTTACATATACAAAATATACAATGTTTACCATGCTCATTGGTTTAGTTTTGCGTGTGTTATGCTAACATTTACTAATTAGCACTAAACCCAAAAGTACACTTAAGGATGGATAAGCCCAACTATCGGAAAGAACTCTCTGATTTGATCTGCCTAGTAATCGCCTCATTCTTCTCACCTGAGTGTCCCCGCCCATCTCATCACCTGCACTTAATTTCCTCATCAACCCAGTCAGTTTTCAGATTGTTGTAATTTCGCTATATGTTTCTTTGCTCTTGAGCCACCAGTACCTATCTGCTATAACTGCCTGTAAGTTTATTTCTTTCTTCAACTATCTATCTATCTATATCTACTTCAGCTGCATTTGCACACGCAGACACAGAAGATACACAGAAAAAGACAGTGAGGCAGCTCCAGTTATTATTTCAGATTAATTTATAAAATAGTTCACTTGAGATAACATACAGCATTCTTCTACAATACAATACTTGTGTGCTGCACACACAATTGAGCCCTCTAAGTTTTAACAGCCTTGCCATGTGATGAATTGAATCATGAATACTTTGGCATAGTTTAGTGACGGACTATTGGTGGAAAGGACAAACGTAAACTGCAAATGCTAAGACATTTAAATCTCTGATAGATGCCCGAAGGCCTCATTTACAAAGATTGACTGGGGTTTTATGGGTTTTCAACAGTCGATACATAGAGTGGACAAAATATCAGGAACATTTGCTCTTTATGTGACACAGGAAGTTGTATCCAGGTGAAATCTTCTCTCTGATCCCACTTTGATTTCACCTGTCTAACAGTGTGTGCAGTGTTATAAACACGATACCGAAGGTATACAAGTCACAAATAAGCATAGAGTATCTTATATCATATACAATAAAATCACTGCTTGTTTATCGTTTGCTTAATTACACCTTTTTCACATCACTCACGAGAAGTAATGTTGCAGAGTGGGACTTTTCCAGGCAAACTCTGGCAAATAACAGTATGAGCCATAAAAACAAAAAGAAATCAATTCAACTTATCTTACAAGTAAATACACCTCTTTTGAGACTGATCCAGCCACGTGTTTGAGAATATTTCAAGCACAGTTCATGTTTAAATATCTAAAGCCATTTAAATGTATTGCTGCCCAGGTCTGGTCCCAGGGAGACAGATAGTGTAGATAGAGGGAGACACGAGACGACTGGAGAGCCAGCAAGCTGTGCCTTGTAAAATGACGAGCTGCTGAAAGTTTACTTGGCCTGTAGAAAAGTATGCAAAAAACACTGGATGAGACATTTAAGAGAGAGGTACCTTCACACTTTATACATCCCGCTTTGAAAACGTACTTATGACTATGAGTTTTCCTCCATATCTGACGGCGCTCTATCACTCCACATTGAGAACCGCCCAGTTATTTTTCTTGTCCTGGTAATGACAAGAGGAGGAAATCTAGGAATCTTTCAGGTAACATGTAAATAACATGAAAATCTCTTAATATTTTAAATCAACCATCATAGTATAACCACTGTCCACCTTTGAGTGAATCAATTTGCTTAATTTACATTTTATTTGATTATATTCAACATACAGTGTAACGTATTTCTGGTGGTTGTGTCATGTACCTCTGACATGACGGGCAGGTTGTCATGAGGAAGAAGCCACATGGTTCGGTGGTCCTTGGTTCTCTGTCTCTGCAGGAGCTTTCTCAGCAACCTCTTCACCTTCCGGTCTCTGGGGTCTGCACACTTCACCGCCTTCTTCGTGTAAAGACTATAAAAAGAACACAATAGTTATTACACGACACAGGATGGCAGGACACGGTTCTGCAGAAACCCCATATTTTAATCACAAGATTGGAGCCACAAGAACAACAAAAAAATCAGCAATAATGTGGAGGACTAGAAAGATGTCAGGTGTAGCAAAGCCTCAAATGAATCGCAAAGAGGAGATGCTGTAGGGTGGCTGGAAATAGAGTCAAATAATATTTTCCTTCTCTGGTAGAAACAAGTCAAACTGTGATCAAAAGTGGGCAAAGTTGAAGAAAAGAGGTTGGAGAACCACAAAAATAGAAAGGACCAAAAGAAACCACAGTGTAAGAATTCTATGTTTTTGTTAACTGGTCCGCATAAAAAAGCAAGCTCCTTATTCGCTGGCTACATCAGATTTCTCTGACCCGCTGGAAACAATAGGTATCACAATGCTGAATGGTTTACTTAACTAAACCCTGCTGTTCTGACTGAATGGCTGCGGCAGGGCTCAGCTGGCTCGGAGGGTATTTTCAGATGGCTTGTTATTCCCACATATTTCCTTTCTTACTTCCCTGGCAAATGCAGCTCCGAGCCCTGCCATAACAACATGACCTGGAAAGATGACAATGCCTCTCAGCCCGGCTCTGCCCTCCTCTAATGAGAGGCATATTTTCCATGCCTGCAGATTGCTGTGTGCTCTTTAGCTCCAGGAGTGGATAGTTGAAATACTTGCATGATGGCTTGTATACTGCAGTCTGGCCCCTCCGTCTGCACCTCAAACCGCAAGACATCCTTGGTACGCACCTTGCCCTGGGAGTACAACATGCAGCACTGGACATCTCTTTGCATCTGCACGCCATTACCTAGGGAACAAAGAAACAGACAAAGAGAAAGAAGAGCAAGAAGAGCAAGGAAACATTAGAGGAGGGGTGTCAACCAAAAGCAAATTGACAGTATTATACTAATGTTCAATAAACTATGTTGGCTTCTTCTATTTCAAACCTTTGGTTTTATTCTACCAAGTCATCTTAGAGTGAAAAGATTTGTCTCAAGTGAGGACAGGAGACTGAACATGACAGCCACAAAAGTTTCAAACAGAATGCATTATGGCACATTATCACAAATAACATTAACGTTAGCTATGGAAGCATCTTACATTAGTATTTACTGCACAGAATCATGATTTTGAAACACTGTGAAATTAATATTCAGATGTTAGCAAAGACTGAAACAGTTTTCATGTACAGGCAAATGTTATCTGTTCTGCAGAATGTGCTCATGCCTCTAGTTCCATATAGACACACACTCATGGACACTCACGTATACACACAAGAATGTCAGAGGAATTACAATGGCATCCCATTGTGCTGCGAAACATACGACCACGGCAGACAGAGAAAGTGAGAGAACGAGAGGAGGAGTGTGTGCTTGTGTGGAGGGTGCGCCACGATGCCTTTTCATCCAAAGCAAATGTGTAAACAAATTAAAGTGTGATGGAAGCAGCAGGAGCATTACGAGCTAGCTGTAAAATAGGACAGGGCTGCTTTGCTGTGCCATAGAGGATTTTCAAATCCATCCTTTGGGGAAATCACCGCACTTCCAGTGCTTTCACAACATTTAAAACAAACAAACAGACGAGACGACACCATCACGCAGACTGAGACCTGAGACTGTTTCTTTCTCTCTGTGTTGAGTGATGTGTGATTTCAGATGCTCGTCCTCCCGCGTTCTCTCCCTCTGTTTACATCCGTGCCTTGCTCTCTGCTGCTGCTGCTGCTGCTGTACCCCTTTTCCTCTTTTCTCCTTTTCTGTCTTCGCCATCGCTCTCTTTGCCACATTGTCCACCTGCAGGGCGCATGCAAGCCATGCAACACACACACACACACACACACACACACACACACACACACACATGCACACACACGCACAGATAGTAAGCATGGTTGTGTCCTACCTTCCACAGATGCCAGGAGAATAACAGTCAGAGAGATAACAGTCAACATCTGCAGCATGAACATGATGAGAATGGCAGAGAGGAGGCGAGGAGAGGAGGATAATCTACTATGTCACCTCTCCCTCTGTGGCTGCCTCTCTTATATCACTCCCTCCCTCTCTTTATACCTCCCTGCCCATCTCTCACTCACTCACTTCCACCACCTCTCTTGTTCTGTCTTACCGTCTTCCCCTCCCACCCTCTGTTTATCCATTTTCAGTCATTCTCACGCTCAGCCAAACTCCCTCCCTCATCCTCTTTTTCTTTCACACTCATCTCACCTCTCACTCATTTCTCCTTTCCTGCTGCTTCACTCAGGATGGCAAGCCTCATTTGTGTCATTTGAGGCTTTAAATTCCTCCTTCATCCTGCCTCTTATCTTGTCCTTATTGCATTTTTTCCTCCAGGACTGAAACAGATTTATACGACGAAAGCAACAAGGATTCATCCTATAGCTTTCAGATTACATGATCAACCCTGATTTTGGCATTTACATGGCACAAACATATTTCATTTCCAAATAATATACAATTAACCCTGGTTTGCAGCTGTGTAGTTGTGGAAACTCTCAGACCGGACAGTAGGCGTGTCTAACTTGTGCATCTGGATCAGTCTTGCAGCAGAGTTATGTTCTCTGTGGGATTCCAGACAAAATGCCAAACACACCGGGAAACTGTGATAAACTGAATTTATTAGCTTAACTCGACCCCGAGAGACAACCTGTATAAATGAATCATGGTTTAGAAATGCCTCTTGTAGATATGTAAAATTAAATATGCAAAATGTTATTCTTGTACAATTAAAACTGAAATGTAAGTGTAATTGTGCTTTTGTTATTTTATTGACTCTTGAAAAGCCTCCCGCAAAGTCCTAGCGAATTGAAGTCAGTGTGCATTTTTAAAAAGCTTCCTAAAGATGCAACATATGGGATTCAGATCATTAATAAAGCGGCCGAGTGTGCTTTTAGTGCATGCCCACTGGCTAACTCAGGGCTGGCTGCTGCTCTGCACTGCTCTCATATGGTGATTACAGCTGATAACGGTGTCCTCCTGACCGACTGGGTCATTGCGAAGCGTAGTACCCACCCTCTGTTTCAATCTCAGGAAAACACTATTAGGTCTGCACTATTGTCGTAGTTTGCACTGTTAATGCTGTTGTCACCGCTGCTGGCAAAATGCTCCCACTCTCGTATATAGAGCCTTTAAGACTCATTTGTTTTCTTTGGCTTTCTCTTGATATTATACCTGGTATTTTGTCGGTTAAACACCTAATTGGGCTAATTTCTTTTTTCTACTATACCTCTTTTATCTACTGAAAATTGTTGTATTGAATAAAAAAAATTAGCTTGCTTGTTATGGGTAATGCAAGCTCTTTATCTGCACATGTTGGAAGAGGTGTCCCACCAGGTGCGGTCCTCAGCTTCTTACTTCTTGCGTTCAGTTTATATGCTCCCACTATTTCAGGTTATCTTGAAAACATATCATATCCGTGTGTCATCTTTCTACGTTGATGACACACCGCTGTATGTTTGATTTCAAACTCACAATGAAGCTTGTTTTCAGGCGTGCCTTTACGAGACTCTAGTGATAAATGTCACAAATTATTCTTTAAACACATAAAGACAAATCTTACATTCTTTTGTTTGGCACTTCTAATCGGGTCTTTAATTTACAGAAGAGACTTCTGTCATAAGTCTGGCAGCCAATATGAAACCAAGGCGTGTGCTTTAGGTTTTTCCAGCCTTTGGTTTTTTTTCCCCCTTTTATTTCTCTTTAATGGTCTGGCTCATGCCAATGCACCAATTTCACCAAGTAAATGGAATATATTTGGCCAATAAAGAGATTCAGATGTTTGAAAAATATGCCCTTAATATGGCTTTGCAGCCTCCCCCTGTCTGGCCATTAATCATAATAAAAGTGTTACTTTCCATAACTGAACACCACAAGAACCAGCTGAAGGCTCTTTCTGAGAGTCAAGCATCTACATCCATTACAGAGAGGCTCCAACAGAAAACAGCATCCGGACATGATTACACAGAGAGAAACCAAATAAATTGATGTAGGCCGGCATCTGTTCAAGATATTCCTTTGAACCGACCTTGTGGTAGAGCAAAATGACAAACACAGATGCCAAAGTCAGACGATGCCGCCAATAACAACATTCTATAAAATGATTGATCAAAAGCCTGATTAACTATGACAGATGACAAAAATGTTGCTACATCTCATTTCTTACACATTAAATTGGCAAAGTGTTCAATGTTTCTTGCTAATTAATAACTGAGCTGTGAATCTTATTTATAAGGAAACACATGATTGTGTTTCATACCATGTAAAAATATTTGATTGTTTTTGTTATTTGCCTTTTGCTTGGACCACTGCTCTTTCCCATGTCCTAAAAGGGTCTCGCCACCCAAATCATCCAAACCCATGTTACTATCTTGCCAATCAGACAATGTCAATCTTTTATTAGATGAGGTTTTTAGATATTTGCCAGTGAAACGGCAATGCCACTCAAATACAATGGAGGTGCATAGAATGCAATTGATGTTGTTCAAAGCAAAACAAAAACGACTTGCAGCAATGTTGAGGAACAATGTCCTCGGCACTGATGATGAACAGAATTCAGCAATTTACAATACTGTCTTTTACTATAGCTTCAAATTTCTGCTCTAAATGAATGGCGCAAGTGAGAAAATGTGTTTTATTGTGATTTGGCTAAACTGACACTTTCAAAATAACTTTGAAGAGCAACGTAACGCTAGCTGAAAACCTTGTTTTTTCTGATCTCTAGTGGTTTATCTTGATGCAGTGATGCAAAAGTGTACAGACATGACCCGTTTACCCCTAGACCACCGGGTCACCCCAGACACAATACCAGTATGTTCAAAACCAGTTTATTTCTCACAATGCTTGCAAACCTTATTTTTATACCATTTCACTAACTCTCCTGTTGTCTGAGGTCGTGCCTCATGCCCCTCACCTGAGCTCCCCACCTGCACCTCATTCCCTCATCAGCCACTCTCTATATCTCCTGGCACAGATCCATTGACTCCACATTGTCTCATTGCTTAGCTTACAGTGTTTTTTTTTTTTTTGAGGTTTTGCCTGTTTAATCCTTTTTTTCCCTGATTCTTGGACTTTGGATTCCTCTGCTTGCCCCTTGTTGGATCTGGTTACCTGATTTCTTTTGATCATTGCCTGCCATGAGCTAAGTAAAACTGAACTTTCTTATTACAATGATTGCCTCTGTGTCATGCTTTTGGGTTCAAGTCTGTCACTCACCCAGATTCGGTAAAGAATTTGCTTTTTGGTTGCTAACTATTGAGCAAACATTTTGGATTGTGTAGTCAGTAAAAATGTAACATGTGGCTGCTCTTCATTCTGATCTGCTGAGGTTGCTGTTGGAGGGAGGAGAAATTTGTATCTTCCCTGAAGTTATTTCTGCTGGATTGACACCACAGTCCGACACTTATAGATGGTTTAGTTAGCTGAAAAGGTTTCTGTTATCGTTCCCCGTTGTAGATATGCTAGGAGACATGGAAACCTGTTATTTATGTTGGCTAGTTATCTGCAAGGAGAAAATGACAGGAATGCAACATGCTTAACTATGTTTTATTTCATGTTTTTAGTACATGACATTATCACAAACTATTTGGAGTGATTCCAAAGTAATCTTGCCCAAATAGAGGAGACATCTGCTATAAAAGTGTTCCTATGATTTAAAAATGCATAAATTAACCTCACAAATTAAAACAATATATCACACTTCATTAGCCTGAAAGCATTGGACATTCTGTCCTCTGGAAAGGGAAAAATGTTAAGTACATTGGCAGGGCAATACTGGAACCATGAGCCATGAGCTGGAACCATGACCATCATGCAAGGAAATATTGCTTTAGACACTAATGTGGGGCATGTAATGGACACATTTTGTTAGGGTAGAACAATATGAGCCTGCCTAAGTTCTTGTGGTAAAACAGATCAGAACATTGAACAAATTATCCTTTGGCTCCTGAAACACTTGGTGGAAGAACTAAGAAATATTCAGACAAAAAGGCAACAATGTCTCTTATGGGCATACATATCTGTTCCCTGGATGTGAAAATATGCAGTCTGTGGACTGAAGGGTGGGGTTGGGGTAAAGTGTGTGTGTGTGTGTGTGTGTGTGTGTGTGTGTGTGTGTGTGTGTGTGTGTGTGTGTGTGTGTGTGTGTGTGTGTGTGTGTGTGTGTGTGTGTGTTGGAGGTGGGGTTAAGTGTTCAAGAAATTGACCCAAGAAATCAGGTTGGAATGTCGGCTGAAAAAACATACCTTCCACATGACTACAGGTTGGCTTCTGAGACGGATACATTTTCTGCATATCTTTGCTGCAATTAAAGTATCTGTCAAGGTGAGCGGACTCGCGAGCATGTGGGTGATCAGAAATGGAAGCAATAGCAGTGAAAAGTGCGGCTGAGGGGGTAAAGTTTTCCTCTTTAAGGGGGTGGAGTGCCTGAGATGTATGGAGGGATAGTATGGCCTCCTGCAGATGTCGGAGGACACGGTTCACTGTGCTGAATATGCGGCCTAACAGATCTTACTGTACCTACATGGAATTTCTAAGGGATGAATTGCGGCAGGCAAACGGGGAGGTGTTTTGAAACCGACAACGAGCAGTATGGAATGCAGAAGGATGAACAGCACATTTTTGTCATTCTTGTCTGCCCTAAAGACATTGAGATCATTTATATGATGTATGCTCCCAATTTAAAGAAATAGTTCCAGCTCATAACAAGTTTTTAAACGGAATAAACAAACCAGATGTAATTAGTGAGTGTTAGCGGTGCGGACACGCAGATTTTTGGATGAGGGACTTGCAATGTTGTTCTGTCGGTCAGTCCAACACTTTGATCTGGACAGAAATGGCTCTCCTGGGATTACGTTTTTTTGTGTTAGTGGAATGCCTCAACTATTCCAAGTCATGGGACTTGGTACAGATTCCCAATTAATTTGATTTCCTGACTTTTCCTTTTTCTGCCACCATGATGTTGACATTTGTCGTTTTTAAGTGAAACTGGTATGACAAAAAGTTTAGACATTTGAG